GTTTATGACTGCACGTGAACAGCTTATCGGGATGTCAGATCAATCGAACACTGTCTGAGCTGCAGAGGGAAGAAAATAAATGACTCTTTTCTTTTTACCAGGAGTTATTTTTCCCCTTAGATTTATTTTAGCTTGTTGAAGTTGTTGGAAGCGTCTTGGTATTTGAAGGTACCCGAAGGTTTTCAGACTGTGAAATTGCAGCTTCAGGAGCTGCGAAGCATTTCCTCCGCGAGACTGTCTCTTTCACAGACCTGTTCGCCGAGGCACAGGTGTCGCCTTTGCGTGGAGAGACAAGAGCGCAAGAAGAGAGCAGCTCTGTACTGTAAGACAGCACAAGGCCAGCCGGTCCGAAGAGTGGCCTGCGGTCTGTCTTTAAAAAGACCCGTGCATGTCCCGAAAGACACTCGCCGAATAGCCCCGCTGTGCAGTCTGTGGCAGTGCCATTCTGTGAGCGCCGTGGCGCCGGGCCAAGAGAAACGGGATTAAATTATCCCAAAATTAAAAGGGCGAATCTGCCTTGTCTGCATCAACAGCTGTTTGCATTTCTCTTCAGCCGTGTATATGTGCCATCCATTTATTTTTATAACCTGTTTTTATTAGCCCGGTCGGGTGGCTGTCAGGGGAAGATGGTGCTTTAGTGCTAATTGCTCTGCAGTCTGAGAGGTGTCAGTGGAGCGAGAGGGGGTGTGGGGGAGGGGAGTGGGGGTTCCTCATGGACTGTCTGGGCTGGAGCTGGAGGGGGGGGGGGGGGGTTAATGGAAATGGGGGGGGGGGGCCTGGCTCTCCCAGCTGCTGCGCACGGTGACACAGGTGCAGAAACGGGGGGGCCGGTGGCCAGTGATTGCACAGGGTGAGCCCGTGCAGGCCTGCCCCGTCACGGGCTGCTAATTAACAAATTTCACTGGGGGGGGTGAGGAGGGGAGGAGGGGGAGGGGGTGTCTCTGTCTGTCTCGGAAGCTGCTACACGCCGGGGTGCGAGACGCCAGGGCTTCCTCGCCCACCCTCCTGCGCTGAGGAGGAGCACGAGGACAGGGCGCCTGTGCAAGATGGAGGGCGGAGGGAGAAGAGACTGCTTGTGCGTCTCATGTGTGCGGGCCACGGCGCGGGACGGTCCCGTTGCTCTCACAGAACGTTTCCCCAGCCTTCTGAAGCTGGGCAGGGTTGCTGGTAGGGAAAAATAATAATAATTCCTTATAGCACTTCTCTAGACACTCCATTCCAATAGTGTGCAGCCACAGTGCACCAGTA